CCTTTCCCCCGAGGGAGGAGCGCCTGGGCCTGGCTGCCAGGTGCGCCCTGCGTCACTGCCACGGTCGCAGGGAGCCCCGCTCTCCGCGTGCAGGGCAGCGAGGGCTCCTCTAGCCCGGATCGGCCGCGTGCCCTGGCGGGCCACCGCCTCTCGCCCGGTGTGCGGGGGCCGTGCGGGGCCGTGCGGGGCTATTCTCGACCTTGCTTGAGAGTCTTTGAGCACCCGGAGCTTCTGGAAGTATCTTTCTGCTCTGAAGACGGAGGCCTGCGGGGTTGCTGGGCTGTCCTGGTTGGGGATGACGTGGGTCAGGCGGGCTCAGTCCTCTTGCAGTCCACCCAGGGGACAGGTATCACTGTCTGTCACGCACGGTTGTCGCTGGGCCCCGATTCCGTTCCCGGTGTTGCACTCGGCTGGGGCTGGAGGGCAGTGAGATGTCACAGGAGCTCACCCTGTGACAGGCTGGCACTCACCGTGGAGTATTTCTCCCTTTCCTTTAGCAAGGCCACTGCTGAGGTGACAGCGGTGCCTCCAGTCACCGTGGAGTAATGTCTTTTAGATGAATTCTCTGCCATTGGCCGAGAGGGGTGAGCCTTCTCTCTCGGCGTGGCCACCGGGTGCGTCCGCTGCTTCATTTTAGTTGCATTACTTTTGGGCGAGCCCAGGACAGGCTGGCTGTTGTTTTTCAGACACACGTGATGCTGTGAGAGGGTCAGATGTTGAGTGGTGGGAATCCTTTTGTATTATTCTGCGTTCTCTGTTTTTCTGTTTATTTTCCATCTCTGTTGCCCCTGGGACGTGCTGTTATTGTGTCCATTGTTAAACTTAAAATCTCTTATTTATCGGTTACCGCCTCCTATTTTTTCTTTAGTTAACAAAATATTAATTTCCATCGTTTTTCTGAAAAGAGTCAAACTTAAGAGATTTTTAAAAATCTGAATGAGGTACGTATGTTGTTGCTATTTTTATTTAGAGTTTGGGGTTTTGTTTACAAAAACAAAACTTCAAACGAAAACCAAAACAACCAGCCAACCTGCAGAGGGAACAAAGGAAGCCGCCCAGATGTCTGACAATGGAAAGTTTTGTTAAATAAGTTATGGCACCTTCATTAAAATTTTTTTTTTTTTTGCTTTTCCATGTTAAATGGAAAAAAAGAGCAATATGTAACATTGCACATAAAGTGCATGAAATATGAAGGCACAGAACAGAGTCAGAAATAGATCGTAGTGCTTGTCTCTTCCTTATGGGATTATTGGTGGTTTTTACTTTCTTCATATTTTCTGCATTTTCTGAATCTGAGCTCATTTGAGAATCAGGAACAATATGTAATTTAAACACACACTGTGAAACATCCGGGCAGAGCCGTGGCAGTTGGGGCAGAACTGACCAGCTGGTGGCGGAGGGTCTCTGTCACCTGCTGTCAGGAGCCTGTTTTGTGACCTGGGTGGCATTCCCCTTGACGACCGGTTTCGGGAGAACCTCTGCTTTGCAGTTCGGCACGTGTGATGTAACAGTCTTTGCTGTGATCAGTTAACATTGCAGGGAAAATGAAAAAGTGATTTTGTAATAATTCCATAGAACACAAGTGAAATGATTTAGAAAAACGACAGTGTATTTCCCCCTAGTAACATTTTCTGTTATTTTTCATGGGTAGCACTGTTAATATTCATGCAGATGATAGGAGTTTATAATTCTGATACCATGAAACACGCTTCATGGGGTTTTTAAAATGAGGGGAAAACTGAGCCTTTCCTTTCCTTCCGTCCTGGAAACCTGTGCCCTTATACGCTGCAGACTGCCTTGGCTGTGACGAGGACCACGCCTGTCCCCAGTGCGAGTCCAGCTTTACCAGCGAGGAGGTCCTGGCCGAGCACCTTCACACGCTGCACCAGGCGCCCACCGAGGAGGAGGAGTCCAAGTGCGGGAGCTGCGGGAAGGAGTTCCCCGTGCGGCAGGCCCTGCGGCGACAGTGCGTACCCCGAGCGGCCGCAGGTCCGGGCTGCCGGTTCCACGCGGGTCTCACCTGCGCGCGTGTGAAACAGAGAGAGAGAGACGGAGGGCGGGCGGGTCGAGCTTTCCGATGCCGTTGTCATTAACGCGTCTTTTCTCCGGATAGTGTGTTGATTTTTGAAACATGCGGGCGGTGAATTTGACAGGTAAACACCGCTTACGGGAATCAGTCTCTGTCCATTTCCTAACTTGCCGTTAGCTGTCCAGCTCATTAGTTTACTCACCTGAAATTAGACACGCAAAATCCGGCTGGTGCTTTGAGGTGACAGGTCACGCTTCAGGTGTCTGCGTCCGTAGTCCCACTGGAATCAGTACAAGGAAATGTAAGGTGCGGAGAGAGGTCAGAGCGTAAGGAATACAGGGACACTGTGGGGAGTGCCTCTTTCGCAGCACCTGCGGAGGACTCGCTTGAAGATGGATGTGTGAGGGTGTGACAGATGAACCAAACGGTCCCACCCGCCCCTCCTGCATCACTTTACTTATATATTAATAGCCTATAAAATTATTCTTTCCCTTAAGCATTTTACTGTATCATAAGTTATCAAAAGTAAGAAAGTAGGTACATAGGAACTTTTATTTTTAACAGAATGTCACTTTGCATATGAGCAAGAAAGTTTTAACATAGGCTTAATGTGTCCTTTCTTTATTCATTACAGTAAAATTCTGAAATAGGCTACGTTTCTTAGTAAGACTGTTGCCACATGTTACATACATCCACTTTGGATCATGAAATTTGAGATGAAAAATTTCTGTTCAAAACTTAAAACTTTAAATATGATAAAATTTTATAATAGCAAGAGATTAAGCATTTGGAAATTCTCTAGTCTCTTTAAAAACAAACAAGGGCTCTATACACTTTAAATAGATGTTGAAACTGCATTCCAGCCCACTTTTATGAATTTAGTATTACATGGTTCTACACCCAAGACACTTCCGCTGAGCTGCTTCTCACGGTTAAATTAGGAACCACTAAAAGTCTTAAAGGGCCAAAGATGAGTGAAGAGAGAGGTCACTCCCATGACTGTCGAGAGAGAGGCCTTTTCCTGCGTTTCTGTCTCTGACTAGCCGTGCTGGCCTTGTCCTTTCTGCCTCCCCGCAGTGTCCTGCAGTGCCCGGCCAAGAGCAGCCTGAAGGATTCCCCCCGAAGTTTCCAGTGCTCCACCTGTCACTCCCCCTTCGGCTCGGCGTCCAGGTGAGTGTCTGAGCGAGCAGAGGGCTGCTAGGTAATTGTGCTCTTTCAGGCCTCTCAGTGATTCAGGGTCCTTGGCTACGGGTTTGAAACTCTGTCCTTAGCTGCCCAGGTGGCACATGGGGCGACCCCAGCGGAGGCTGGGGACATGCGTTACAGAGGCCCCCTCCCTGTCCCGCAGCTGTGAGCGGCACCAGGAGACTTGCCGGAGCAAAGCCAGGTTCGTGTGCAAGGCCGGCAGCTGTGGGAAGAGACTGAAGAGCCGGGATGCCCTGAGAAGACACCAGGAAAACGTCCACGGCGGTGAGACATCCCAGGGGGCGGCTTGGAAGGGCTCCCCTGCGGGCTGCAGCCATCTGTGTGTCCTTGTCACCGCGGAGCGGAGAGCTGGCCTTTCTCGGAGCGCACAGATGGGGGGCTGTGGCGATGCCTCCTTTTACCCAGCGCTGTTTCTTAAGATTTCGAGTTGATTTCAGCAGAATTTGTATTTTTTCTGTCCGAGTTCATCAGAACCAGAAACCGAAAGCTGGGATCTAGCGTGCGTGGTGGTGGTGGTGGTGGTGTCAGGTGCAGGAAAAATCAATATTTTTTGAGTAGTAATTACATTTCATCCTACGGCATGTCCCTTCTGGTAGATGGATGTAAACTACCGAGTGACACCCTCCCTCCCGCCTTCATATTCTTACAGTAAAATTCTACTTTTTAATGCTTCTGTGTCTCCCTCATTGGAGAATATTACCGGCCCCATTTGCCATGGGAACTGACTATTCCAATTAATAAAGCGGATACTAGTTGAAATTTTTTAGTGGCTGGATAAGCAACGAAGTAAATGTAAAGCGTGACTGTCGCTTAGGTGTCATCTGTCTGGCACATGTTTTGGTTCAGGGACCGAATCCATTGCACTGAGCTGAGCAGGCGGCTGCATTGTCAGAGCTGACTCCCTGGGAGACTTGTCCCTCGAGGAGGTGGAGGGTCACGGAGCCCCCGGCCAGGTGGCCTTGGCTGCGAGCTGCGGGAGGGGCCCCAGTCCGAGAGGAGCGGCCTGGAAGCAGGGCTCAGGGCGGTGCCCGCCGCTCAGCCTCTCCAGCTCCGGCGTCTCTCTTTCCCTTTGAGACTGGGCGGCGATCTAAGGAGGGGGTATTTTTCTGCACTCACTGTCCTCGGGCCTTCCCTGTGCCAGCCGAAGGCAGGCCTGGCTTGTGGACAGACCTGTCTTCATAGCTTTTTTTCAAGCCGTTATGTTGAACTGCTGTTCGTAATTTTCTCCGTGTATGTCTGTGATGTGTTATAACAAATCTTCCTTGTCGTTTGTGAAGTTAACTGCTGAGCTAAGTGGAAAGCCAGATGCCGACACCGGCTCTGGAAACCTGGGCTCCCGCTCGTCACTGGGCAGGTCGCCTCCAGGCTGTGCTGTGTCAGCGTCATTTCTTTCGAGCTTCTTGTGATTGGCCTTGGAGACTATGATATTACTCATTCTGGGAACTCATGGTGATTTTGTAGGAAATAGTTTACAAAACAAAGTGCTTTGCTCTGTTTTGGGCCATAGAGAATGTGGGGCTTACGTTCTCCGCCGAAGGTCACCATGCAGTCCCTCTGCTGGGACTGGCCTACGGTCTGTCTCACCCTGAGCCTCCCTCCTGCGTCTCCCTTTGCTCTGTGACCTGGGGAAAGAATATCCCATCTTTAGAGGCAGAGCGGAGTTCACACATGTGGTGGTAGAATCCTTTGCTAGAAAGGCAAATATTACAGGAAAGAGAAGGTCTTGCAGTTGTTAACCACTGATGCTGACATATGGTCCTTCTTAGTGATATGAGTTAAAGATGCTGAGAAGAGAGAAGCTGAATTTTTAAATAAGCATCACATATTTCCCTGGAAACTGTGACCTGTGGTGGATAGGTCCTCAGACCAGCTCCTAGGAGCATACTTAGCCCGACTGTCCTGAACCTCGCAGGGACCGAGCGACCAGGTGTTCAGTCCAGTTGTATTAATGTCTCACACAGCTCCTACCTTTGTAACTGACGTGCTCCTGAGTATTTTTGAAAATGGAATCTGAAAGTCAAATATCAGATTTACTTGAACACAGGCAGGAAAACTACAATACTAGTCTTTGGCCTAGTTTTGGCTTGGTGGGTGCTGTTGCCCTTGACCCAGGGATGCTGGTAGGAAACAGAGAGCGAAGGGGGTGACGTCCTGACCCACTTCCCGCCTTCCCCCTTTGCCTAGGTTCTGTGGATGCTAACTGTGAGATTTTCCACGTCCAGGAGATAGCATTTATCTACATTCTCAGGTGGACAGTCAGAAACTGTCCCCGTGTTTCTTCTCAGTGGAGCTAGGACTCCAGTTTTAGAAGGAAGACTAGGAGATGTGAGGAGGAGAGAAACACTGAGAAGCACGACTTCCGATGCTCCTCTGAATTTAAGTCATGTTGGTATTTTGTTTCTGTTTCAGGAGATCCTAAGAAAAAGCTCATATGTTCAGTGTGCAATAAAAAGTGTTCTTCAGCGTCCAGCCTACAGGAACACAGAAAGGTCAGTGAGATAAAGATGAATGCTCATCAGAGTATAAGATATTTTTAGTCATTTATGGTGTCTGCCATGTACAGCTGAATTGATTTTTTTATGTTGTAAAGATAGATCTTGTCATTAATTTAAATACAAACATATTTTAACATGCAAGACTGAGATGTAGAGGAGTAAACTCTTCCAAAAGATGGAGATATATATATATGTGTGTGTGTGTGTGTGTATATATATATATATATATATATTTTTTTTTTTTTAAAGTTTTGTGTATATATTTTTTAAAATATATCTTTATTGATTTCAGACAGAGGAAGGGAGAGGGAGAGAGGGAGAAACATCAATGATGAGAGAGTCATTGATCGGCTGCCTCCTGCACGCCCCCGACTGGGGATCGAGCCCACGACCCCGGGATGTGCCCTGTCTGGGAATCAGACTACGATCTCCTGGACCCTAGGTCGATGCTCAACTGCTGAGCCACTGCTGAGCCACACCAGCCGGGCAGGACATATATATTATAATCCTTACCTGAGGGTATTTTTTAAAATTGATTTTAGAGAAAGAGGAAAGGAGAGAGAGAAATATTGATGTGAGAGAAACATCGATCAGTTGCCTCCCGAACGCATCCAGATCCATGGATCGAGCCCACTTTGGACGCGTGGGACAGCGCTCCAACCACTGAGGCATGCGGTCGGGGCTCTTCCAAAGAATGTTTGGGTTATTGTTCAGAATCAGTAGAAATATTTCTTGAATGCAGTGTCATGTCCAGCCGATTCCTTCACCTGCAAGCTTTTCCAGTTGCTGTTGGTTCAGATCTTGGTAGATGTAAATCCTGCCAGGTGGTGGTAGAATACAGTGCCTCTGTTGTCTACAGAATATAAATACGTGACGGATTAGCTCAGTGTGGCACTTCCTCCGTTACAGCGTAGCTCCTCTAACTTGGCCTCTCCGAAGCTCCAGGCAGCTTTGACTGACTCCATATGGTTGGGGACAGCTAATGTCTCATCGAGGTTGGTTAATGTCTAATCGATTTCACGTTGCCAGGAGGTGGTGCTTTAGGATGAGGCCAGATTACGTTGCTGCTCAGTGCAGTACCCTACATTACGGTATCTATCCTACATTCCAATAAGATATTCTGTGATCCTTCTTGAAAATTCTTTAGTTTGGGACTTGAAATTTAAGCTGTTACCCTCCATATCAATTTGGTACACCGGACATTTTACAAAACGTACGTTCCTTAGCGTTAGGCATAAATAAATAGCATTGCCTATCGTGTTCACTTTAAATGGGATCGTTTTATTAAACTTTTTTAGGAGTTTTGAAAATAGCTTTGGCCTGAATTTTCCACTATAAGATTTCAATGCAAAAATGCTTTTATGCGCAGTAAATGCTCTCTATTTTATAACTTGGGGAATGTCAGTTCAATTCAGTCTTTAACAATGTTTCATGTTTCAGAAGCCATGAGAATTATAAGTAAACATATATTATTCTGCAGTATTTTTAACAGTTTCCATTTGAGATGTGCATTCATAATTTTTTATATTTGATATGCTAATAAAAGTTTAACATGAAAAAAGAAAAGAAATATGATTTCATTTATATATGGCTGAGAAGCCTATCATCCTTTTAGAGCATCTTGTTATTATAAAGGGTATTATTATGTGTTACAGAAACATAGAGTTTAAGAGTGTAAATCTGTTCTTCCTATCTTTGAATAACCAGTACGTGTCATAGCGCAGCTCCTCACTGTAGCTGTCCAGCCGGAGCGTCTGCGGGTCTCTGACGATGGAAGAGACTGCCTGTCAGATGCCTCAGGCGGGAGTCTTTCTTCTGCACCGGGCGGTACTTGCCTTCCGAGTACTGTGCAGACCCTGCCCGGCTCTCGAGGGGCTGTAGAGCTCTCTGGACTCCACACATCCCCTGGTCAGATTGGATGCCCCTGCATCGAGGGATGTACGTCAGACTAGTGGGATGACATCTTCTGCTTCTACCTTTTCCTTGCTTTTCACAACTGAGTTTACCGACTCACCAAGAGTCGGCTCTGACCGAAGCCAAAGGCTGTTGGGCACAGAATTAAAGCCCTGACTGCAGCCCTCAGTTCTGTGTCCATACCTTGTGCCCTCTTTTCAGGGCCACTTAGATCAAGGGAGCCAATTTCTGGGAGACAACAGTCTTCCCCTCATTGCTCATGGCTCACGGCTGTACCAGGTCAGGGCCTTGTGCCCTGCCAGGGCCCTAGCTGCTCTGCGGGGTGGCCGTGGTGTCCTGGCTTCCTACACAAGCGCCTCTGCTGGCCTGGGACTGAAACAAAACCACGGCTTCACCAAAATCATTTTTAGATCTTCGGCCAAACCCTGTGGTGCTCTTGTGTGTTGGAATGATCGATGCTCCTGATACAAGGCTTCATCCAGTACACTTCTGCCCGAACTTTGTACACTGTTGTTTTTTTTAAAATCTTTTTTAAAATAGATTTTTAGAGAGAGAGAGGAAGAGAGAGAGAAACACTGATTTGTTGTTCCACTTATGCATTCATTGGTTGATTCTTGTATGTGCCCTGACCGGGGTATTGAACCTGCAACCTTGTATCAGGACGATGCTCTAACCAGCTGAGCTACCAGGCCAGGGCTGTGCATCGTTTTTGATGATAAACCTGGACTTTGTTCTTTCATTCCTGCCATCCAACCTCCCCGATTTAGTGTCTTCGAGGGAAGGACCTAGACCTGAGATGCAGCTGTAATTTCCACATTAGCCAGCTGTTTGCTAAAGTTATCCCCCCTATTTATTTTGGTTTTTTGATCTTTTTTTTATCTCGTGCCCTCCTGTTGTGCGAGATGTTTACCGTGAACTAATTGTTTTTCAGTCACATGTCTTCTCGTCTTTCATGGTTATCAATGTTGTGTCTGTACCACTTACAGTTAAGTCTAAAATACTGTTGGCTGCTGTAACAGGACTGTTGTTACCTGCAGGTCACTATTTCCAAGTCTAAATCTGTGTGTAGCAAAGAGTTAATACAGTATACTGGTATAATTGTTTACAGAAAGGGTACATTTAATATGCACTAGATAGGTCAGCAATCTCACATATTTAAACAGTGTGCAATCTTATTTTCTTTTAATGACATGTTTTTACTAAGTAACTTATCTCATTGCAACTTTAGTACGTATAGGGTAGAATGAACAGGTTAGGGCTGAATTATAATATATAGTTTGGTTAGTGCAGTAGCAACTGCCCGCATATTTATACTTTTACCTGAGCTCTGTAAAATTCATTTGGCTCTCACCGTTGATTTAACTGTCAATTTAACCTTTTGCAGATTCATGAGATATTTGATTGCCAAGAATGTATGAAGAAATTTATTTCAGCAAATCAGCTAAAACGTCACATGATCACCCACTCAGGTAAAATACATATTTTTTAAATTTACATTGAAATCACCACAGATATTCACCTTGTCGTTTTCAGGAGCTCTGAGAGTGGTCACTTGGAGACCTGGCTGTTAGTTGTAGCTCAGCCCTGCCTTAGCCGTGTGGTTTTACACAANGGTGGCTGTTAGTTGTAGCTCAGCCCTGCCTTAGCCGTGTGGTTTTACACAAGTTGCTTTACTTCGCTAGACCTCAGTCTGTTTATGGAGCAAAGGTGGCTGNAGTTGCTTTACTTCCCTAGACCTCAGTCTGTTTATGGAGCAAAGGTGGCTGTGCTAAATGATTCCGAAGATCTTCAAAGCCCCCATTTAGTTTGCTAGTTGGTCTTGCTGGAGCCTCAGTTTCTGTGGTCTGTGAAATGGGACACTGGCTCCCACCCAGGGCTGCTGTGGTGAAATGAACATTTCCGAGCGCAGCCAGTAGGGGGCCTGACCCAAGGAGCGAGGCAGCAGATGCAGTGCCTACGTCTCAGGCGCTTCTCCGGCTAATAACTGAGGTCCAGATAAACATTCGTGAGTTTACAAGGACATTTTGAGAATGTAAATTTTCGAAGCCATAGTTTCATTTTAAGCAGGTTTGCATAATAAATAGGTCTCTGATGCAGATTTTTAAAAAATCAGCTCTGAAAATAATTTTTGCTCTGCGAAGTCTCTTTCTGGGGTTTAGAATGTCAGTGACTTGAGGCCGGTAGTCACAGTACTGCTGAGTATCCGCCGTGTTTGGAGCTAGGTACAGATATTTCGGCAAACGGTCGGAATAGGGCCATTCAGCTAGGCTCTGTTTGAAACAAGTGGTATATTTTTACCTCATTGTCAACATTACATGGATATTGTGCACATAGGGGTCTACACAGCCACCTCAGTGTGGGTTCTGAGAGACTCGAGCTCCCCCTGGGTGGGGCTCCCTGGGCTGAGCAGGAGCAGGGCTGCCCTTTCCATCCATCGCTGTTGTCAGTTGTCACTGCCGGGCCCCTCCTAGTGTCGGCTATGGCCCTGGTAGAAACTCACACCTGTTAGCATGTTTTTCATTTGGAAGTAGGGTTTCTTCGTTGACTTTTAACTTGATCCTTATATCTAAGCTACTCCACACATTTAGTTTCCAAAGCGGGTCTGTAAAGAGCCAGCTGGCCTTGCTCTGGTGAGCAGGCCCACCTGTCAGCGTGGATGGACTGGGCGTTGTCCAGGTGTTTCCATCAGGTGTGTGTTGACGTTTCCATAGAAGTAAAGGGAGGTGAGGCTGTTTCTCTTTCCAGCCTTTACTTTATGTAGATACGGGATTGTCTCCACTCGTTTTCCACAGAGAAACGACCCTATAATTGTGAGATTTGTAATAAATCTTTCAAGAGGCTCGACCAGGTGGGCGCCCACAAGGTGATCCACAGCGAGGACAAGCCGTACGAGTGCAAGCTCTGCGGGAAGGGCTTCGCCCACCGGAACGTGTACAAGAACCACAAGAAGGTAAGTGCCTGCTAGTGTGGTTACCGTGGCCGCCCGGGCACCGACGTGGTTTCCAGTTGTTTCTCCCTGAGCGACGTTTCCGTCTGTGTGGGGCAGGCCGCACCTGGGATGATTAGAGAGGACCTCGCTGTGACTGAGTCCCGCACTCGGCCATGGCCGCCGCGACCCCGACTCTGTCTTCATTCTCTGCTGAGACCGCTCTCTGCGCAAGCAGAGTGTCCCGCTCCCCAGAGTTGTACCCGTGACGCCTCCCTCCCGCGAGGGCGAGGTCGGACCTGCTTGTTCCCATCCCCTCCTGAAATTCTCTTCCCTGCAGTGTGACGAGCTCTCTCAGCTCTGTCTGCCACCAGGTTCTCTGCGGCTGGTGTCCCTCCCCGGGGGTGGTCTGGGGGCTTTGCCTGGACCTCGTCTGTCTTCCCTGTGTCAACTCCAACTGCGACTTCTGCTGTCAACTCCATACTCTTGAATGCCACAGGATTTAGTTTTTTAATCCAAGCTTCAGACCCACACTTGTGACTGCTTATTTGATACATAATTGGGCATCTTTTAAAAATTTTGTTTATTTATTTATTTATTTATTTTTTAAATGATTTCAGAGAGAGGAAAGGAGAGGGAGAGGGAGAGAGAGAAACATCAATGATGAGAGTCATTGATCGGCTGCCTCCTGCACGCCCCCAACTGGGGATCGAGCCCGCAACCCGGGCGTGTGCCCTGACCAGGAATTGAACCCCGATCGCCTGGATCCTAGGTCTGTGCTTAACTGCTGAGCCACGCCCAGCTGGGCTGGGCATCTTTTTGACGCAGTGAATTTCGCATGTCCCAGAATGACCTCTTCTTTCTTTTTGCCCCAGATATAACCTCTCTTTTTATTAGAATTTCCTATTTCTGTTCATGACAAAAGCATAGAATTATCCCCATGTCTCTCTTTAGTCTCAGCCGCGTTTTGAAATCAGAGGCTGTTATTAAAGATTCTCCCCCGTGCACAATCCCACGGCCTTCGCAGTCATAGGCCGCTTTACTGCCCCGGGGACTGCTCATCGTTGCCACCTTCGTGCCCGTCTAAGGAGGCTTCTGGTCTCGCCCCTCCACCTGCAGGCCCCGCTGCCAGGTGAGCCGCCGGGCAACCTGGTCCAGCCCTCGGCCCTCATGCTGTTAGCAGACTCCCGGTGCCCGATGAGCAGTGGTGTGTACTCCCCCCCGTCATCCAGCTCCCTCCACCGTGACCTCCGCCGACTTTGCCGGCCTCTGTCCTTCATTCTCTGCGTTACCACACCTGAGACAGCCTGACATGCTCCTCATTTGGTCACACCTCTGACTGCCGCTTCCTCCTTGCTGACGGTCTCTCTTCAAGCCGCCCCCTCCTGGTTTTCTCGGCTGATTTTTGCTTTTGTTTCCTACACTTTATCTAGTTCTTGTTTTGGAACCTATTTGTTTTACCTTACCTACTTTGTGTATGTAATAAATAACGTTTGAATTGAATTCAGAAAATTTGTCCAAAGAGACTCAACCTTTTAGAAAGGTATGTTAAAGTCCTTCTGATGTGATAAACATTTGCTCACTGATGTTGCTTGATAGGAGCATGCTCTTAGTAATGTCATGTATATAATATCTTTTAAAATAATTTGTCACTCTCCCCCCCACTCTCAATATTCCATTAGATTTGTACAATTGACCCTTGAACAATGAATGAGGTGGTCAGGGGCGCCGACCCCCGCAGAGCCGAAAATCTTGTATCGCTGCTGACTCCCCAAAAGCTTGCAAGCTGATAGCCTGCTGTTGAGAGGAAGCCTTGTAGATAACAAACAGTCAACACGTATGTTGTATGCTACATGTATTATGTACTGTATTCTTCCCATAAAGTAAGAAGGTGAAAGGAAAGAAATGAAAAGAAAATGTTAAGAAAACCATGAGGAAATGAAAATACATTTACAGGATTTATTGGAAAAAAAAAATCCGCATGTAAGTGGACACACCCAGCTCAAACCTGTGTTGTTCGAGGGTCAACTGTAGGAATGTCAAGATTTGTTGGGACTTTTCAGAGACATCTCTTTTGAAACCATTTGAAAAGTTAGGATTTCAGTTTCAGTCTAAAAAGGAAAAAAGAGGCAGATTGACCAAAGAACGGGCAGGTTTGATTGATGGCGTCTCAGGTCGCCTTGCCGGGCTGCCGCCGCCCGATGCGCCCGGGCCCGGCGCGCTGGGATCGCGTGACTGGAACACCTCTCGCCGGCCTCCTGCGCCGCCTCTGGAGCTCTCCTGTTCTCTCTTTGATGAAACTGATCTACCCGCATTTATGAGTTTTTCACAGTTTGGCTGCTGTTATACGCCACGTGGGAGTTTTTCCCGGGCTCTCTGCACCATCTCTCATACTTTTGGCCATAAATCATATGGAAGTAATAATGATGTCTCGGGAAGAACAGAAACAGGGACGCCTGGAGTTTCCAAAGTGGGGAGCACATTCAGTCCTTCCGCGCAAAGAGCCGCTCGCCGTGTTAGGGTCCTAGCGTGTGTTTGCTGTGGTTTCGGGAAACCGCCTGAAGTGGCCTCCAAGCATTATGGGGAAAAAGCAAGTCGCCGTTGTCTTCTGTCATTCAGGAATGGCCAGTTAGGAAACGGGAAAACGGGGAAATGTAAGGAAAGCAGGAGAAACCATTAAGAGTCAGACCGATGGTCATCATTTAGCGTGACCAGAGGTGGTCATTTAAAACAAATTAACTCTTCTGTTGTGTTTTTGATTAGGTAGCCTGTGCATTTTTATTATAATTATTTGATTTATTGGAGGGTCCGTTATTTTAACATTTAGATTTGCTCGGAAAGGGGATATTCCCTGCGTCGTGGTTGTGACACTACCTGGCGAAATGCTGAAGGAGTGGGTTCTGAGTCTGAAACCGAGTGGCCTGCTTCCTCCTGGTGCCAGTGACGTGGGTCAACATTAGTTTCCTTCTGTCGCACCCTTGGTCCCGATGAAGCCCCGAACGAGCTCCTGGGGGCAGAGGTGTGTGTCTAGTCTAACAAAAGACCCTTTTTCTTGACCCTTTACATAACCTTCCAGAGGTAGACTTTTACAGGCCTGCGGGACCCCTAGTCACACGCTCTCACGGAGTGATTCCGTGGGGCCTCCTGCGATAGTGCGTCATCCAGGGGTTTCCAAATTCTGGGCCACGACCGCCTTGTGGGTTTTGAAATCAGTTTCGGGGCCATGAACAGCCGTTACAAATAGCGCAGGAGGCGTGAGAACGAGGGTCGTTTAATGAAAGAATGTGTGTCTGCGCAGGTGCTTGTGTGTGTGTATGTGTTGGGTTTTTGTTATAGAAAGTGTTCCTTTGGTCATGGTCAAACAGCTTGAAAGATACTGCAGATCAGACTTTGCCCAGGTGAAACTTTATCAGACCTTCAAGGAAAGGACAAGTCTTTCTCTAAACAGATTGTGGATTAGGTTCTAAAACCATAAAATAGGGCCTAAATTTTACATAGTAACAACAACAGAATCCTTGACAATCTCTTAAGAAGTTGCCGGGTTGGAGAATGTGCCATGTCAGTCACCCAGTCATTGCATCACGGCCACTTTTACTCCACATTTACACCCGGCCTCTCTTCTGTACATGCGCTGTAGTAGCGAGTGTTCATTGAAGTGCCTGGTTGGACCGTGTCCCCCTCTTTGTGGGCTAGAAAGTTGGAGATGCAGCGTGTTACCTGGCCAGCCGGGGAGGAGACGCGGTTGCTGTTTCCATGTATTCAGAGCTTCACTGTGGAGGAGAGAATGCGCCCTGCGAGGCTCCGGCAGTCACCGGCGGCCGCTGTAGAGGGCGAGCTTTTACGTTAACGGTTGTGCAGTGAGCCGAGGCCCCGTTGGAAGCCGTGTCGTGAGAAGCGTCCCTGGTTAGAAACGTGAGACGGAGCCTCTGAGCAGTGTGGGAGGGGGCACGCTCCCTGGCGGGAGCCCAAATCGCTGCCCTCGAGGAAGAGGCCTTCCATAGGTAGTCTCTGGGTGCCCCTTCTGTTAGCAAGCTCCCCTTGCCCTCCTCGGGGCACCCTGATGGCCGAGGGGATTTTAGCAGTTGGCTCTGTGGNCCCTCCTCGGGGCACCCCGATGGCCGAGGGGATTTTAGCAGTTGGCTCCGTGGGTTTTGACTTTGTACTAAGGCAGTTGTGTCTTTTAAGCAGTGCAAGGGGCTGGGCTTGGCCATCCAAGGCTATAATTCTGTAAGAACATCACCGAAATTTCATAATTCTAATTCTCTGTGGGGAACGAGCTGCTTTTTCCTGTTGAGCTTAAAGAAACTGCTTTCTTCGGTATCTCTCCAGTCGCCATTCATTTCTGTGAGCAGGAGGCCTTGTAAAGAGCCAGTTATAAAGCTGACAGTAAAAATTTAATTCACAGACCTTGTAAACAGCCAGATGACACACATTTTATGCGGCTTTAGGTTTATTATGTGACCCAAAGGGACAGTAATATGCTTATGATATGCAGACTTGAGACTTCGACCACAAAACTCTCTTTTTAAAAAAACAATACTTCTGACACACATAATCCCGGAATATTTTCTCCATTTTTGTTTTATCTCTGTGTGTACTTCTTCCGAATTTTATGAATGTTTTCTTGCTTTGCCTTGTGACCCAAAGAAGAATACCATTTCCAGCAAGTACTGTTCCTGCGGAGCAGTAGATAGTACTGATGGGTTGTCACTTGTAATTGTGAATGGCCCTGATGAACTTTCATTCTGCTCTCATGAAATTCATATTTGGTCTTTGTGGCTAGAAATGTACTGATTTGGTAATTATTATATAAAAATTATGCTATAAACCTTCTGGAGCATTTTTATGACATTTTATTAGATGTGATAAATACTGTAACAGATTTTCTCACTTGTTTTCAACATCTGCAACAGTAATCAGACGTGGGGCATAAAAGGGTCTATTTCCTCGCTCGGGTGCGTGGACTCGTTCACGGTTATAGGGGCAGATGTTGGTGTCATCAGTGACTTGGCATTTACACAGGATGTGCTATAGCTCAAGGGTTATGCAAGTGATGTCAGTGAAAAGTGTGTCTCCCTTTAGAGATGAAAAATGGAAGGCCGAGGCACCTTTTAAAAAGCGAAGTTTTATCTGGTAGTTGTAAAATGCATCTTGGAGACCGAAGTCGTCTGTCCACACATGGCAGCATTTTCCCTCCACCTCCCTTCGCTCAGGTGGCCTCCGGGGTCTTCCGAGCGATTGCGCATGTGGCTTCTCTGCTGAAACGTGCACACAACAGGCCATCGTAACTGGGTGGGTGGTGTCACAGTCCTGTGACAAAGGTGTCTGTTCACCCGGCTGTGCACTCACAGATGGCCACTTAGGCCAGTGTCTCCATGTGGTGGCCCTGGTTTGCTTAATGTAGTTGCAAAGCATTTTGCTGTCCCAGGTTCTTTCATAACCAAGCTACTAAGTCATATCCACAGGTTGTTTTGTGCTGGATTTGGAAAAAGAGGAAACATGAGCTAGGGTGGGATATAATATTTTTGGAAGCCTGAAGCAACCCTGTGTTTCAAACCTTTCTGCCTTGCATTTTAAAATTTAATTTATTCTCTCACGAATAGCTGGGTTTCTGACATGCTTAGAAAGCCTTTCCCCACTGAAGTTGTATATACACGTGAAATACAGAGCGCCTGGTGAACATGCCTGTCATCCTAGTGCAGGGGCCACACTCATCTTCTCTGGTGTAATTTTAGTCTGTGCTCCACCTTTAAAGCGAGCACCAAAAATTACATTNGGGCCACGCTCATCTTCTCTGGTGTAATTTTAGTCTGTGCTCCACCTTTAAAGCGAGCACCAAAAATTACATTAAAATTTGCTTATATTTTCTTCTAGTAGGCTTAGGGTCTTATTCCAAACTTTTTAAACAACACCTGAATTCATATGGAATTAATTTTATTGTAAAATCAGAGAAATTGAAATAGGTGTGAAAATACACCAAATTCACTTTTTCCTGAATGTCCATAGAGTTGCCTAAAACCATTTACTAAACATTTTACTGTTTTTGTGTCCATTTGGAAAGCTGCAGTTTCCTATACTAAATGTTCATATATTTTATGTAATAAAAGAAACCTATCCTTTTTTCTATTTTATTGATCTGTTTATTTCTACCTATCATTTTAAATTTCTGTGGCTTAAATAACCCATTTGAATATCTGTCGTTTATCCTGATTTTTTTAGTTAATCCCCATCTGAGGTTGTTTTTTCCATTGATTTGTTGTTGTTGTTGAGAGAGTGGAAAGGAGGGAGAGAGAGAGAAACATCAATGTGAGAGAGACCCATTGATTAGTTCCCCCCACATGTGCCCCGACCGGGGCCAGGGATCGAACCTGCAACCTACGTGTCTTTGACTGGGAATCGAACCCGTGACCCTTCAGCGTCCGGGAAGACGCTCCCATCACTGAGCCACGCCAGCCAGGGCTGTGCTGACTTTTTAAGTGTGTGTCCTCCCATCCGTTCTCCATATTTTTCACAGCTGAAAACAGGTGTGATCATACCTTTCTCAGCAACGTTATGTTTATAGGTCACGCTTGCATCCTGAATATTATAGTGTCCGTTAGACTAAGAAATGTGTAAATCACTGTTATGAATAAAGTGGCTTTCCTTTAAATGATTTCCTTCCTTTTTATACCACACGTATCATAAAAACCCTTGATTAATGATTTATTACAGTAAGGGCGCGGTGTCATTTTGGATATTAGGGCGCTGTCTTGCCACCCCTGGCGGAATAGCNTGTATCATAAAAACCCTTGATTAATGATTTATTACAGTAATTGCGCAGTGTCATTTTGGATATTAGGGCGCTGTCTTGCCACCCCTGGCGGAATAGCGTTCTACCCGCTGACCCGTGCCGGGGGTCAGGGCTGGGACGGGACAGGACACACGGGTTGCCCCGAGCCTTAGGTCGAGCAGGTGGTTTGCGGCTGTTTCTGGTTATCCGTGTGTTTTGTGGACCCGTTTAATGATTCTTGCTGCATCTCTGCTGTTTGACATTTGGCAAATGACTGAGACTCTTGGAGCCTTCGTTTTCTCATCTGTAAATGGGGACAGTAATAATGTTTTTGTTCACTGAGTTGCTGCTAGAATCAGGCGAAGTAATTCGTGGAAGGTGTTTAGCATCGGGCACAAAGTAGACATTTAATGCATGTTACCAAGTGTTAATTACAGCGAGCGAACGTTCTGGTTTAATTTGGGGAGAAGCACCACTAGGATTAACGTTTCTCTGGAGTTTTTCATTGAAGTTGAGGGGAAAGGGCGGGCACGGTGCCCAGTCCCCTTGGGTGGCCGGCGCTGGCCAGTGCAGGGAGAGCCGCGGCCTGGGGGCGCCCGGGGAGCCTGCGAGCCCCGCGGGTTCAGAGGAGCGTTCTGTGACTTCAGGCGCAGTTGCCTTCGGCATTTATCAGATGTCTAACTGTGTGAGAATCTGAAGGGAACTTATTTTCTCCTGCGAGTGGTTTGATGGTGGAAGACGGTCACCAGAAGCAAGATGCTGTCCGCGTCGCCACGTCACCGTCTCTCCCGGCCCATCTTGAACCCGCTCGTTTCCTGCGCGGACACGAGGGCTCTGCGTCCCCCCGACTCAGTTTCTCTGCCCGCAGACCCACTCGGAGGAGAGGCCGTTCCAGTGCGAGGAGTGCAAGGCCCTGTTCCGGACCCCCTTCTCCCTGCACAGACACCTGCTCATTCACAACAGTAAGTCACCCAGGCGGCGGGCGGGCACGGCCTCCGTGTGTCCTCACGCCCGGGGGTGCAGGAGCACGCACGGGGGAGCTGCACGCGGGGCCGGCGCCTGCCCCCCGCCTTCCCTCACCCTGCCCTGTCCCCCCGCAGGCCGGTGAGACGTTTCGTTGTATGTCGCTTCTTCCGCTGTTTAACGTTTGTGTGGAACAGCGTTCCCTGTGCTCAGTAAGGCATCTCCCAAGTTTGCTTTGAAGCAGACGTTTGGGTCCCTTTCAAATGTAACAGTTTGCATCTGGGGGAGCTGAAACGGTTGATCCGTTGACCTGAGCAGCAGTCGGGTGGGTTTACGTGCATGAAGTCTCTCCGAGGTGTGGGCGCCCCCGGTACAGCATAATGCGGCGATTAGGGAGACGTCAGACTCGGCCCGTCTCAGGAGCTCACAGGGCCTGCAGTTACATCTAACGTCACCTCTGAGGTGACCCGGGCGCAGAGAAGCGCAGGACGGACTCGGCTCCAGGAGTCCCCTGCGTTCCCCGCCCGCCTCGCCGCCTCCCACTTCTTACCCCGCGGGCAGGGCCACGGTTTGCCTTTCGGTTTCTTGTGCACACCCACCCCACGTAAGTCCGCGTGGCAGCCACGCTCAGGGCTGTGCTTACAGCACCACGGCGCGCACAGCCGTCCCCGAGGGAATCGCTCCGGCGCAGCCGAGGAGGTGTCGCCGCGCCGTGGAACGTCAGAGCGGGCGCGCCGTCCAGATGCGAAAGCCAGCAGAGGGTCCCCACGCTGTTGCATCTAAAATGAAAGGAGAAATGGTATAACCTAGTCGTGGTTCTGCTTCTTGCTTTTCAATGAAGTTGTTTTCTCAGTAGAACATCCTCTACACGTGAGATTTCTGTTGCTGGTTAAATTTTTAATATTTCCGAGGAAAGCAAAATAACTGCCCATTCTTGGCAGTTGATCGTACGGATAAGATGGTGTCTCGGAAGACGTTTTCTCTGGTCCGTAGAAGTACAGGTTCTGTACCTGAGGGTGGTACAGGTTTTACCATTTTTATGAGGACTGAGGGTAATGACTGTAGTGAAACGTATCTTTTCCCGTAGAGAAGGCCCCGCTCTGACCTCAGGCCCTCCTGTCGCCTCGCGGCCCTGGAGAAGCCCTGAGCACGAGCCCCCCGCCTATTTCACAGGCGGAGCGGGTCGTGTGGCCACTGTCGCTGGGTTAGGAGGGGCACCTGCTGGGGGCCGAGTGGGCGTCAGAGCAGGGTTTAGGCCCGCGGGCCTCGTTCATGCTGCGAGACTCGGAAATGTGGCCTCACGCTCAGGACGTTTCTCTTTGGATAGATGAAAATTTACTTTTAATCCCAGCAGAGGATTTTTAGGAGAAGGAATCAGATGCTTTTGATTTCATCCTATTGGTTCTCATCAGTTTGAGGCAGAGGTGACAGAGGCTGGCCCGCGCTCGTGGCTTGACCGTAACGTCGGTCGGCGCGTTGACCGGGGCTGATGAAGCTGCATCAGGACGTTTGGTAGAAAGATCAGCTCTGGAGCTGAGTAGGGAGATGAGTGACTTGAGGTGACGTGAGACGCCAGGTGAGGCCCGGGAGCCGGAGGATGGGAAACGAGAAATGGCTCAGGCCGAGGACACTGCCAGATCCTGCCCACACGGCAGGAAGATCAAAAGTCTTAACGTCACAGCCTGAAGGCCGTTGTTAGAAACTTACGTCAGCTCACGAGAGGAGGAAAACTTGCCATAATTATCTTGGAAATTATTGTTGTTTTCTAATACTCTGAAAACCAAAAGCCGGGTGACTAGCCAGCCTCTTGGTTTTAAAATAGGGGAAAATCCTGATTAATTTAAGGCAAAGGAATCTGGTAAAATCAGATAAAATCTCATATCAGAATTTTAAAATTCTGATAAACGTTCAAACCAAGAAAGCTGGAATTAAAGCGAAGCAATGAAGGCGAGGACACCCTCGGTGCAGCTCGGGGAGGTTCGGTTCAGGATCCGTGTTTCGATTCCCTTGACAGTTTAAGGAAAATGCTTTGATAGGAATGATCTTGGAGGATTGGTTTTTAATTTCTGTCAGTGCCTGAATAACATTTGGTACAGTTAACTTTTGTAGCCTTATGCCAGCTGACATTTCATTTTACTCTCACTGGTTATATATTGTATACAAATAAAATACTCATATCTCTAAAGAGATACATAGAGACAAGCTGGGTGGGAACAGTGTCACCCACAACACAGGCGCATTCCCAGTGGCTCCCAACTGTCTCAAACGTCGCATTTCAGCAGGCCCCTGAGACGGGGCGCGAAGGGAGGCCGTTTGCCTTTTCGCTTTTCCTCTTTTTCTTCTTTGTGTCTGTTCTTAAACCTGCTGTGAAGAGATGCTAGGACCTCACGTCTAACCGAGTGCTGGCGCTGTTGTGACGGAGGGAGTTAGGAGGCCGGAGCTGAGCTCGTCTCACCGAGACGTAGACGGTTGGTTACCTGTGTGTTTTGTCTCAGTGAAGCTGAGCCGTGCTGATGCCGTTCTTTAAAGAGGGAGAATACGTCCAAGTGCTCGTCTGCCTCACGCGTGATCGTGGGCTGCGTGTGTTTGTAACTTCCTGAGGGCAGCACTTGAGTCTGATTGTGCACACTCACCGCGTAGAAAGTACTGGAAACGGCCACTGCAGTCGGACGCGTGTGTGGCGCAGAGCTGCAGAGAGCGTCTGTGAGCGTTTAGAAAGCGCCGGGACGCCCTGACCGCGGGTTCCGGAGCTGCTTTCCCTGCAGGCCAAGGCTACGGAGCGAAGGAAGGCGCCTGGGCTCTAGGGTATAAGCCGGGAGCTGCCATTCTGGGCTCCCCTTCCCCCCAAACTGTCTCAGAGCCCGGGCGGAGCCCCTCCCCCAGCTTTTTGCCGCCCACTGAGGACCACTGTAGGGGCCTCCCGTCCAAGCACCTGAGACCAGGCACCCGAGACCGCGCTGAGGCAGCGAGGGGGTTGAGGCCTCCCCTGTCCCCCTCTTGACCACTCCGCCCTCCGGGCCTCCCCCGCCAGCTGGCTGCCCGTGACCAGGCCTGCCTGTGCCCTGCCCCCTAAAAGCCAGGGGGATAGTTGTGGGATTGAGGGAAGAACGAGGGGTCCCCAGTGCATCTCACTCTTCTCGACAGAGGCCTTTTGTCACCACAAGAATCTGTGCAGCTCAAACCCCAGCCCCTGCCCCGGAAGCTTTTAAAGAAAGTTCATGGTACCTCAAAAAATTAATTCAATCCCCACACTTTGCAGTTGAGGAGACTGAGAATATAAGGGTGAAGGGCTTCCCCTGGTCACACAGAGACTTAGCAAATATGCAACCAAAATTTGTTGTGGAAACGTTACCTTTTAGGTTGTGATAGGTTGTTAGAGCTATAAAGCTAACTAGGGGGGGACAAGACTAACCAGCTAACCAGGCGCCTGAGGGCAGCGGGCAGGGCCCGGCCGTCGCTCCTTACTTCTCTCTTCTGTGACTTCTTGTTTCCAAGGCGAGAGGACCTTCAAGTGCCATCACTGTGACGCGACCTTTAAAAGGAAGGATACCTTAAACGTTCACGTCCAGGTGGTCCACGAAAGACACAAGAAGTACAGGTGCGAGCTGTGCAACAAGGCGTTCGTGACCCCCTCGGTGCTCCGGAGCCATAAGAAAGTGAGTGGCCGCCCGCCCGAGCGGAGCGTTCCTGGCCCCGCGCGGCCTGATCCTCTCGGCGGGGGCTCCGTAAAGGCTTCAGAAGTAAACTGCAGAGTTATTTTCAGATTAACATGAATGCCTGATGCTAAGGGTTTGTGTGGTTTTTTTTAACCGGTGGGAATACCCATAATAAGTGGTTTAAAATCTCGTTGTGATGTTAAATCATTTTCATGAAACATAACCGGGGAAGAGGGTTTCCCATGGGCAGAGGCCCTGACTCGCCGGCACCTAACTCCTCGGATCGACCCTCAGCCCTTTCTGTCCCGCTCCGTGCAGACACACACAGGCGAGAAGGAGAAGACCTGCCCGTACTGTGGCCAGAAGTTCGCCAGCAGCGGGACGCTCAGGGTCCACATCCGCAGCCACACGGGTAAGCACCCGGCCGGCGAGCACGCCCGCTCGGAGGAGCCGGCCCTCCAAGACAGAATATCACGCAACGCCCCCCAACTAACAGTTCCCCTGGGCTGCTTCCTCTCCTTTAGTGTTTTATAAGATCCGGTTTCTTACTCTAGAAAAACTTGGGATACGCGTACTTTCTCAAACTAAGTGAAATATCTCGCGTGGAAGTAACTTGCGGGTGCTTGGCTGCGACGCAGCTGCGATTTCATCCACGCGCTGTCCTGATGGACAGGGAGGGAACAGGGAGGTTTGCTTTCTTCGGAAGGCCGGGGGGCTGCTCTCAAAAACCCTCCTGTAAAGCGCAGAGCGCGGCGTTCCTTTAAAGGCCAGTCCCGTGGAGCCTCCAGCCGCCTCAGTGGACGTTTCCCGGTCGTCACGTGAGCATCGGCTGGCGTGCGGGGACTGCGATCTTTCCCCACGCGTGACGCGTCACTCGACGCACAGGTCACTGGGAAACGGCTCACTGAGCCACCTGGTCGTCCCCGGGCGCTAACCTCGTCGCTGTGCTCACTCGGCGAGCCCACCTTCCA